TTATAATTATTGTTATTATTATTATTATTATTATTGTCACCATAACCCTCATCATCATTACTATTATTGTTATTATTTTTGTTATTATGGTTATTATCATTATATTTGTGATTATTTTCATAAAAAACATTATTATTATAATTACATTCATCATTACTTTCAGAATTGTTCATTTTATTACTATTTTAAAAATTAAAATCATCGTTATTATTATTATCCTTATTCTATTGTTCAAATTTTTATAATTATCTTGATAATCATTATCATTATCATCATTTTTATTACTTTCTACATTACTATATACATTTTTTTTGTCATTGTATACATTTTCACCGTCATCCTCGTTATCATTATTAGCTTTGTCATGAACATTTATATTTTTTTTATCATTACCAGTATTACCAACGTTATAAGCTACATTAGACCATTATCATTGTCAGCACTATTATTATAATTGTCAGCTTTGCCATTATTGACAGTATAAGTAGGAACTTTGTCATCATTATTGTCATCATAGTTATCGCAATCGTTATCATCATAATTATTATTGTCATTACTATCATCACCAATGTCAACATCATTATCACGGTCATTATTATCATCGTTACTTTCATAATTGTTGCTATCATCAATATTATAATTATTATTTTTTTTATCATAACCGCAATTATCAACATTATTACTATCATTGTCTACATTATAATTATAATAATCACCATCACTTCCATTATCATTCTCATCATAACTATTATTATTATACTTATAATTATCATCGATATCATTATCAACATTATCATCATTATCATTATCATCATTTTTATTACTTTCTACATTACTATATACATTTTTTTTGTCATTGTATACATTTTCACCGTCATCCTCGTTATCATTATTAGCTTTGTCATGAACATTTATATTTTTTTTATCATTACCAGTATTACCAACGTTATAAGCTACATTAGACCATTATCATTGTCAGCACTATTATTATAATTGTCAGCTTTGCCATTATTGACAGTATAAGTAGGAACTTTGTCATCATTATTGTCATCATAGTTATCGCAATCGTTATCATCATAATTATTATTGTCATTACTATCATCACCAATGTCAACATCATTATCACGGTCATTATTATCATCGTTACTTTCATAATTGTTGCTATCATCAATATTATAATTATTATTTTTTTTATCATAACCGCAATTATCAAC